GGGGGAAGGCGGAGAGGAAACAAAAACAATCGCCGGGCGCCGCCATCTTGGGTCCGTTCTCCACGCCACACAAGTGAATGGGTAGATATGAGATTACCACAGGGGAGCAGCAGCAACAGCAGGGTACGGAGGGCTGTTCCGAGCTGCCGGCTGGACTCGGGAGACGCTAGAAACGGCTCCGGCCCCCGCCGCCGCCCTGAGAAAAAACCCCGGTTCGGCCTTTTCTCTTCGCCAACCCCTAAACTGCACTCCTGGAGGGACAAAGTTGGTCTCAGCCGCCCTGCCTCCGCCGCCCGGGAGACGAGAGAGTTGCCTTCGGCAGCGGCTTCCTCGGAGCCGGGAGTGAGCCGGGGTCAGAGTTAGGGGAGAAAGGGACGAGGGGATCGCTTCCCCCGCCGCCCTCCGGCCGGGGCCGGCCCGGTGCGCCGTGTGGGAGGCACGGGGAGGCGGCAGCAGGAGCCCGGCAGGCTTTGCTTTTCCACCCTTCCCGCGGCTCATTCCTTTCTCCTCAGAAGAGGAGAAAAAAAAAAAAAAAAGAGAGAGAAAAGACAAAGAAAGGGGATCGGGGAAGGGTGCGGAGGGCCGTCGGGGGTCTCCGTTGGCGCGGCGGGGAGGAGGAGGCGGCAGCGGCTTCCTCGGAGCCGGGAGTGAGCCGGGGTCAGAGTTAGGGGAGAAAGGGACGAGGGGATCGCTTCCCCCGCCGCCCTCCGGCCGGGGCCGGCCCGGTGCGCCGTGTGGGAGGCACGGGGAGGCGGCAGCAGGAGCCCGGCAGGCTTTGCTTTTCCACCCTTCCCGCGGCTCATTCCTTTCTCCTCAGAAGAGGAGGAAAAAAAAAAAAAAAAGAGAGAGAAAAGACAAAGAAAGGGGATCGGGGAAGGGTGCGGAGGGCCGTCGGGGGTCTCCGTTGGCGCGGCGGGGAGGAGGAGGAGGAGATGTGCCGGTGAGGAGTTGGAGCGGAGCGGGAGAGGCGCCAGCCGGCGTGAGGGGAGGGAGAAGCCGAACCTGCCGCCGGCCCGGCCGCCGCCGCATCCTCCCCTCGCTCCCCCGATCCTCCGAGCAGCACCGGCAGCCGAGGGGAGGAAGAAGGATTTGCCACAAAGAATATCTCACCCTCCTCCCCAGCGGCTGGATACTGCGTTTATTTTTTATTTTTTAAATTTTTTTTCCACTCACTCTTTTTTTTACATGTATGTGTATTCCTGAAGTCATTTGAACAGCTTGCAATGGGGATGAGGGAATGGACTATGTTTGTTCAAGATAAGGTCGTGATCCACATAAGATAATCCAAAACCAGAATAATGCCAGAGTAGGGAGGGGGGGGAAGGGATGGAAATCTCTTAGAAGAATTTGAAATCTTGCTGGGATTCGGGAGTGCTGGTGTTGGACGGACGGGGGAGAGGAGGGGAGATGCGCGGCTCTCCCTGACTTACCGGCAGGACTCAGAGATTCGCCACTTTTCGGCTGGTTTGTTACCCAAACTGTTGTTTCTTCCCACTTTTCCTCGTCGGGGGTCACGCTAAACCCCTCAGCATTATTAAAGAAAACCCGAAGCGTTGCCCACGTGTAGCTGGTGGCTTGCTTCTTTTTTTTTTTTTTAAGGTAGTTTTTCATCAAGAAACTGACAAAAAAAAACTCCCTCCCTTCACCCGGAGGCTTTTGAGGGTTGAAACTGAAATGGAGCTACTTTTCTCCCAAACACTACATGTTGTCTAAAGGGGAGCCAGGACGAAAACGTCGTGTTTGACCGGTTTCCATACGGTTCCCCAACACTCGGCACCCACGAGGGATGCTTCGACGAGCTTGATGTGGAAAAGCAGAGTTGGAGCCTCCTCAGAGACTTCCTCGTGTCCAGCGGCTTAATTGTTGACTTTTCTTTTTTTTTTTTTTTTCAAGTGGATTCGTAGCATACTTTTATGAATTAAATTTTGCCACCGTTTGTACAGAAGCCAAATGACACGTGTGTTTTGAAACACGGTTCCAAATATATCCAGCCCTCAACCCGGATTCTCGCTAGGAAGAGCCGGAGGGAGATCGTCAGTGTCTCAAGAAACCTGATTTTACTGTTTTACTGAACGTTCTCTGCTGCAGAAATGTTGCTATAGATTGCTTTATAACGGTTCAGCAAGAAGGGAGATTTTCCAGCTTGCAGGACCTAGGAAACTGGATACTTAAAGTCACTTAAATGTTTTAACAGCATTGGAAAATGGGAGCTGCTACTAAGTTGGCGTTTGCTGTTTTTCTTATCTCTTGTTCTTCAGGTAAGTGAACGTTCTTGATTTTGTTGCTTCAAACGTAAGGCTTTGGGGTTAGCACTTGAAAAGCTTTGGTAACTTTGTCCCTGAGTGGGAATGAGGAGAAATCTTTCATATTTTGAAATGACAAGTGTTTGGGGACGGCAGTGACTGTGAAGGCAAAAGCTGTTTTCATTGTTTATTCTTAAAAATCTATATAATGAGCACTTCAAATGCGTGCGGTGCTTGGATTTCAGATCAGTTGTGTGGAACAAATGTGGAGACATAACCACCTAGTGTCACATCCAGTAATCTGGCAATGCGCTTATTTGTGTTTCATGGTGGGGTGTTTTGTTGTGTTTTTTTTTTTAAGTAAGAATAACCCCGCTGAAATACTCTTAACTTCAATTAGATCTCTTATTCCGGACCGTTCACTGGTGAATGGCAACCTTCATTAATGCTTCATTAGTTGAGAATAGGGCACTGCTCTGAAGGCATTAGCTCGTCCTTTAATGATAGCGAGGGGTGTGCGCATGTATAGATGTACCCACGGAATTAGGGTGAAAAGGCAGACTTTCAGTTTCTAAACAATAATTTGTAACGCTTTGTATTTTGCTACTCCACACGTCACTGCCTCGCAGTGCAAAAAAAGCTGCTAGTTTTCACTTGAAAACAGCAGAAGTTGGGGTTGAAACGCCAGCTCAGAGTCCTGAGAAGCCAGCAGGGTGTGAGGACTTCCCCAGGGCTTCTTTCGGAGGAGAATGGTTATGGGAGCAACCAGTGGTTGAGGGAACTGTTGGTACCCTTCTGCTTGAAGCTCCATCACAGCTTCACAAAATACCTCTTATGAGCTGTGTAACCCATCTAAGATGTGTTTACATGGCAAACCTGGCACTTTCTGCTTACGTTTTGAATGTGTCTATAGTCCTGTGAGTAGGTTTAAAGATGCTTTTTAGCATTCTTGCAGGGTGGGCAAAGGAAAACGAGCAGACAAAGTGCTCAGCTTTTCAGTGCAACCGGTGTAAGGCAGTAATGAGAGCCGTATAACAATGCCTTTTTAAAATTTCAGTGTTATAATGTACAGGATTTTGCTGAACAGGACATTTTCTTGTGGTTAGTAAATGGATAGTCTAGTCTTATGTCTGTAGCGGTATTGATCAATTCCGTGTGTGCTAAATGCGCTGTGAAGAGGAGAGCGCTGCCAGAAATAAACCAAAAAAAAAAAAAATCCCTTTCTGTTTTAACCAGATAAAATAACAGAGCAGGTTAAGGCCAGACAGGGGTTTGGGTGTTAGTTTTTTTTTATTATTAATGTATATAATTTATTTCTCTGCTGAAACAAAACATGATTTCTTCTGACAGTTATGTCTTGCAGTAGAAGACGTGTCTCTCATCCTTTCCTAATAACTTAATAAGTTATTGGAGCAACGCATCCTCTTAATTCGGGGATATTTTCTGTAGGGAAACTTTTTGTCTCCCCCTCCCTGACAGTTTCTGAAGGACTTGGTGCTGTCTGCTCTTTATGTCTGTCTCTCCCTTCCACGTCCATCTATTAAGATCTTTTTTGCCTAGAGCACAGAATAGTGATCTTGTTGACGTTACCTGTCCTACCTATTATAAAGAATGGTTAAGCAACAAAAGCCATCTTTTCTTTAGCATTTCTTGCTCAGGTTGGTATTGGCGAGGCAAAATGAATGTTTCTTTTGCCTGGGAAGATGAAATTAATCTTTGCTAAATGAGCAGGAAACTGGCTGCAATTCGGACTGCTTCTCATGTTAATGACATTGTTTTGGTGGTTTTTCCAGTATTACACATTAACTGTTCCGGTATTTAACAATTATTAAACTATTTTCTACTCACCTAAAATTGTGGGCTATCTGCAGTCCTGGTGTAGGTCTAAAAATAAATGAGTTCAACAGGAAGCTTTTGGTTTTTTATGATCAAAATTATAAGATTATGTAAGCTTTTAGCACGAAGTACAGGCATTTTGATAAGTGGTGTTTCTTCTCTTCACTGTGACTCATTTGGGTTTAAAATCATACCTGATCAATTGATTCTCATGTCGTTGTTAGAAGTAGGAGCTTCCTTTCCAGTCTTTAGTCTGGAAAAAAAAACAACAAATCTGCTCAGGCCCTATATTTAAGAGTATTGGCAAAGGTTGAAGAAATCCTGGAGTTCAGGTGAAAAGATATCTGGTTTGTCTTTTTCCATTATGTGGTCTCCAGCTACTCTGTGTGTCAAGGAGTTGGGGGTATTGGTTTTCTATATTAATTTATTTTTATATGCAGCTATTTTCTGCAGTTGTTTACACAGCCAATTAATACTAAAATAGGTGAAAGTGTAGGTCTTTTTCTGCATGGTGGGCGTGGAAGTGGTCTTTAGGCTGAAGGCATTTTATTTTACTATCTATAAACTGCTGTGTGAAATCCTGTAAATGTACTTCAAATGGGTAGGAAATTCCAGTGAATCTAATAACCTTCTAAGGGAGTGAAATTTTTTCCCCTTTCTGACTAAGATATTTGAAAGAGAGCATCTGTGTTATGTTATTAGGCTTTAAAAATATTTGTAAATGCTTGGACAAAAGTGGGTGTAGATTTGCACCCATTTGTAATAATTCAGGAGAATGAGATGATTGCCTATTAACTAAACAGGAAAACAAAGTGCTCGGGTCAAGGTTCTCCCTCTGCTGCCTAATATACTTTATATATAAACCTGTGTGTATTTTTGATAAAGAACAAGAGATCTTGAAGTAATAATAAAATGCTAATGAAGAATTGAATGCGCTTCCTGCGCCTCTCCTGTAGGTGAGGGAAGGTTGTAGGTGAGCTTAAAAAAGAAAAAGAGTAAATAAAATAACTTGTTCGTCGAAGAACGTTTCTCTTTAGATATTATCTATTTTCTCCCCTCCCCCAAGGAAGTGCCTTTAGTTTTCATGACTGCTGAGTTTTATGAACTTTCAGGAACAGAGAATGTGTACTGTCATAATTTTCTGTGATGTTTCAGAGTATGTGCCCTGTTGGAGCTGAAAATGTGGGCGATGTTGAAGTGGTGGATTGGCTTTAACCCAAATCTTCTGTTGTGGGGGGCAATAGTTTTTAACATCTCCTGGTTCCTTTTCTTACTTTCGCTCTCTGTGTCTCCTAAATCACCATTTCTTCTCCTCTGTGCTGCCTGCTCTGCCTTTGGTGCTTGGACAGTCTGTCATCAAGGTAGTTCTGCAGCTTTAAGTCTCTTACAGGAGACAGGACCCATACTTGTTAAAACTCATTTAAGCTCGATTCATGCTGAAAATCACCAAAACAAAAGGAAGCACATCAGAAGAGGTTTGGTCCTTCTTTTTTTTTTTTTATTTTTTTCCTAATGCCAGATCATTCTTAAGCCACTGGGAAGTAATGTTTTTTTTTTTTTCTTTTCCTAATGCCAGATCATTCTTAAGTCACTGGGAAGGTCTTGAGTAATTTTGCTAAAGGAAATGGCATGTCAAAGATATCCCTGTAGTTGAGGTAGCATTTTCACTGCATGGGGAACATTATATTCTTTTGCTAAAGGAAATGGCATGTCAAAGATAACCTCTGTAGTTGAGCTAACATTTTCACTGCATGGGGAACATTATAGTTTTTGATTTTTGTTTTATATTTCTCTTGTCTCACACCAATTAGTACCGGGGGAAATTATGTTTCAAATATTTCCCCCCCTCCAGAAAAAAATCTAGGTAGCAGTGTGGTGGGCTTTATAGTTCTATGGCTTCAGAAGCTGAATGGGTAGGTGTTCTGAAGGAATTGAGGGGTGGGAGGTGAGACTTGTTTTTTCTTTAATTTTACTAGTCTAATGGTTTTTTGACTGTACTTCCATTACTAATTTGGTAGCACTTGAAAGTCCTGCCAAAGGTTGATGAGCATTGTTTGTGAAACTCTCTGCTGAAATGTTCCCTGCGAGCTCTCCGGGGCTGTCATTGAACTCTAATCTCTATTGCACAGGTAGAGCAATAAACCACGACAGACTTAGTACTGCTTTTAAAGTAAAATCCTCCTCAAGATCCCTTTTTTATAAGAGCATAGGCTTTTTTTTTTATATTCGGTGTGTTCCATTGAGCAATACCCCTGTGCTCCTGACGTTGCTGTTGGGAGCAGGGCTTGTAAACCTACTTAATGCTGTTCTCAAGCAAAGATGTGTTTACATAGATGTAAATGTTACATTGTTTACAAAGTTTCGTGGCTCCAGGTTGTCAGCTGATAACAGATCCAAATTCTGTTGCTATTTTTATGTAATCTGTTAATACTTAACAAAAGTTACAAACCCTATGTCTTCGGGGTTATGAATAATAGCTGGAGTTGTGCTAATGCAATATTAGGACATGGAAGCTTAGTTCTAGTACAATTCTGCTTGACAAATGTTTCCAGAGAGATGCTGCTGTCATGGCTTTGTTTGCATGTCTACCCTTCAGACACAAGGCTTTTCTCAGAGGAAAAACTTAAATAAATTTGTCTTCAAATGCTGGATGCAATATAAGTTGGCGGAGGGAGGTATTCTTTGTGAAAGCTGTTTGCTGCTGTATGGGGGTGCAAGAAGGTAATTACTGTAATCATGAATAATAGTCTTCAGCTGGTTTTAATGGAGAGTATTTGAATGCCATTTCTTCCCCCCTCCCCACCTTTCTGGAATTTGGGGGCGAAAGTTTTTAGGTGATGGGTTGGGATGATTGTAGATGACGATAGATAAATATTTTTTTTTTCCCCCTCTATTCAACTACAGAAGTTCATTTTTGTCATATCGTTGGTTTTATATAGGAGAAAAAAAATACCCAGTAACTCCAGTGTTTTTCATTCTTACTGATTCTACCTTCTCTTCCAGCTCCCATAGCTTATTTCTTTTTGAAATTGGAATACAGTTCAATTTCAAATCGTCATTATGACACTTATCTATATCACGTCTGGATCTCTTAAGAGATGGCACCAACATTTTCTTTGTTGACAGACAAATGTGGTGGACACAATAAGCAAAAGCAGTCTTTTTGGAGACCTATATGA